ATATATATATATATTCAGCTTAATGAATTTTGAAAATGACACTTGGGAGGCTGAGGCAGGAGGATCACTGTGAGTTCAAGACCAGCCTGGGCTACATAGTGAGTTCCAGGTCAGTCTCAACTACACAGTAGACCCTGTATCAAAAAAACAAAACAAAAAAGAAAATGAACACATTCATACAGATGATACCTATGTGAGGAAAGTGAACATTACCAGTAATTAAGATTCTGTGTTAAAATCTTACGTTTGCAGGTAACTTTTAAAGGGATCTATCTATCTATCTATCTATCTATCAATCATGTCCATAATAAATTGCAGGCAACATAGAAAAGTAATTCCTAATTGGTTTACTTATAAATGCATAGTTTCTGTACTTTTATGCTAACCATAAACTCACCCTTCTAAAATGCAACAGAAAGTTGGTATAGCAACTAAGAAAAAGAAGATTCCAAAAACAGATCACAAAAAACCAAACCAAACCAAAACAACAACAGCAACAAAACTTGTTTTCAAGGGGCCAGGATTTAATTCAGTGGTGCTGTGCCTGCCTCGCAAGTGCAAGGTCCTGAATTCGATCTTCAGGACCAGGAGGGAAAAAAACAAAAAACAAAAAACACCAAGAAAAGATGATGCCAGGATGATTAAAGGAGACTGCTTCTGTAGATAGGGATGGGGTATCCAGTGCGTAATACAAAGGGTGCAAGTATATGCTGTCCTCTATTCCAAGGAAAAGAATTACTGCGAAGTGTTCAAGGAGTGGAGGAAGATCTTTGTTTTTGTCTCCAGAACATGTTCCATCTCAGCACTGAATTCTGCAGATTTGAGTATTCCAGAAGACTCTTGAGAGCTACCTTTGTATTCACATTCAGAACATACTTAAAGAAAAAAAGGAACACATACCTGCTCTTTAACCTCGATGTTATGCTCTCCTTCTAGAATAAGGGTGACAGCCTGCATAATTTGCTTTCCATGAGTACTCATTATTTTATCTATATGCTGGAGAACAATGAGAAACCCACAATTATTACCTGATAAACAAAGGAAAACATCACAGAATGCTTCTAAACATTAAGTAATATACATAACAGTAAAACACCACAGCATATAGAACTAGATGCCAAAGAACAGTTTTTATTATATTTTGAAGCTGCATTTTGCCTTCAAATGCACATATTTTTAAATGACTTGATCCTGAAGAGAGCATAGAGTGGTCTAATAGAATACAGACCTAAAATCATTGAGGATCTTAAGTCCATAGATATTTCAGAAAGAGGAAGCACAAAAAATGGATAGCAGGGGAAAACCCTACTGACACAGAAAATATGGTGCAGGTTTACTAATACTATTTTGAGGTATAAAAGTATAAAGATGAATCCACAGACAAGAAAGACACAGAAAAGGAGACCACCCATGTTTCACCTCCCTCAACGACAATGAGAAAGAGAACATGGAGAGCGACAGCAGCAGCATGGCTTGGGCTCTCCTACTCCAACACATACTGACTGCTTTGCCCAGTGACGCCTTCAGAGATCAGATCTGTAAATGTGGGTGCAATGGGGGTGTCTATGGAATGACACAGAATAATTCTCTAAAGGGAAATAAGCAGAGGACTCAGAGATAAGTGATTTAGGCAGAGAAAATCATTCTGGCCAGAAAATCAGGTAAGAGTAAAGTAATAAAGGCAGGCACCTTATCTAGCACCAAGGGAGGAAAGGGAGACAGGACAGGCAGTACAAGGGTGGCGGGTAGTAGTTTGTGTAGTGAAGCAGTTCTTGACACACCTATGAAGGTGGCAAGTCTAGATATCAACTCCTCACTTCTTTGGGAAGGAACTACATTTGAATCATACTCATAAGCAGATGTTGATGGGAGCAGAGAGGGACGATAATGTTGGGCAATTCATATGCAGAGTTAGCTAATTTGGAAGCCTGGGTATTTTACTTACAGGCCGAGTAGAGAGGAGATTTCTAAGAAGTCCCAATGTCTTCATCAGCACATTCAAATCTGAATCTGATAATAACCGGAATAGTTGTTCAGTACTCAAGCTTCGTAAAATATCTGCTTTTATTTTTTGTTCAGCCTGAAATGCCATATTCTGAAAGGATTAAAGAAGTTGCAAGAATCACGTCTGTATTACTTTATGAAATTATACTTTAATAGTAACTGAGAAATTTCAAAGTACAAACAGAGTATGTAGAAAATCTTTAACTATTAGTCATACTATTTTTCTGATTCCTGCTCACACTTGTATTTCTGTGTGCCAAGAAGAAGATACCTGTCACTCCTAAGTATACTTCTATATGAGAAAAATGATTGCTTTTTAACATGGGTATTTGAAGGTCTTAATATTTCTTGAATAAATATAAATTTTGGGGGGGGTACTGGGGATGGAAAACAGGGAGTGTTGAGTTACATACCCAGACTGTTTTATTTTTTTATTCTGAGACAAGAATATGATATTTTACCCAGCCTGGCCTGAACCTGCATCCTCTTGCCTCAACCTTCAAGTAGCTGGATTTACAGATATGTGTGACCACATCCAGCCTTTTTATTACTCGATATATGGTTATCAAGTTGCCTTCTGTGTGCTTTAATAATATGATTATTAATGATTAAAATGTGTTCACTTATTATGGATGAAAATAAGCAGTGCTTTGTTAACTCTACCAACATGAAAATACCCACTGTATTCACACTACTATGCTAGGTGTTGAGACGACTAGGCTGTATCACACAGGCAGTGTTCTGGGGCAGGATGTATGTCCTGACCAGCAGCAAGCTGAGATGGCCAGAGTACTTTTTTTTTTCTTGAATTCACACTATGTTTTGGCTCTCCTTAATGCCAAGCTAAAATAACATATCTGAAGGAGAAAAAAGCAAATTCCAAAAAACAACTAATACATCAAGTTTTGACATTAAAAGCTCTTGTAAAATGGAGACCTATATGTGATTATTTCTTTCTAGGAACTTATTTAAGAAACTAAGACAAATGAGAGATCATGTTATCAATGAAGCAATCCAGCATGGCAGAACAGAGTACTCCTCAAGCCTCAAGAGACCCAGACTAAAAGTGGTCATAACGTTTTATACTTTGTGAACAGAGAACATAGGTACTAGTGATATGGAGACTGATACAAATAAGACATTTCTCTGGATTTGAAGAACAGGATGATTAAGTTCAATTTTTATCATTAAAACTGTATGTGTTAGGAAACTCACAAAAGAAATCTTGTGGGCTGTTTAAAATGAGAGATCTAAGGAATAAATAACAGTTATATCTAGATGTGCATGTTTCAAAGTAACCTCTTTAGGAGTTCCTGATAATGAATTGTAAATGGAACTGGAAACTGGGAATTGAAACTTGGGGGACTATTCCCTAAAAACGAGGTTGAGAAGGAGGCTAGGTAGAAAGTGACTTAAACAAAACCACCACCAGCAAAAAAATCTTCAGTTCCAGAAAAGTTTCAAGATGAAAAGAGCTAAAATCTGCACAAAGTGAAGGAGAAAAATAATTACAAAACTACTGAATTTGGTGCTTATTTTTACTTCAAAGTTCATGTAAAAAAACAGCAGATACAGAGTGAAACAGAGAGGAGAGTATATGCTTAGTCTGGCTTCAGAATATATTTCTTTCATTTATTGGCTGTGGCGCCTTTACCCTCACAAATCATTACATTCCCAAGGCCTTGTTCCCCATATGTAAGGTAAATATATCCCAATATAGTTCATTTATTTTTATTTTTTATTTTTTTGGTACCAGGGATTGAACTCGCCCAATATAGTTTAAAATAAGAATATAGCACACCTATCTTAGTGTCTGGTACACAATTAAACTGTAACTACTATAATTATGTTTCTAAAAATCCATGTAGGAGTTCTCCTTTTATAATTTCAATACCATTTACTTTAATAGTCTTAAAGAAGAGTTATTCTCTGATCTCATAATTTTAGTCATTATTATAAATTATTTACTAGAGATTTAATTAAGCATTTATGTACAAATTTTCTTATCCTGGCAAGTTATTTAATCATTCTGCAAAAAATGGTATATAAAGCAATGTATATGTTAATTGGTTCAATTCTGGTATTCAACACTCTGTACCTTAAAACATATTGTACACCAGAAGCATACAATTTTTACTTGTCAATTAAAAAAATAATTCTTCCGTGCCTTAGTTCTCTCATCTGTAAAGCATACTAAGAATACTCTCTAGTTTATTTCAAAAAGTTGTTCTATAGTACTTTGTAAAGTAGGCATCTCTACAGTAAGTCCACGAGAGAGTAATCTGTTTCCCCAAAATTAGCAAAGTGAAATTTCAACACCTGTTCACTTTAAATAATAATAATAATAACAACAACAACAACACTAGGAGAACTGAGGTATAATGCCTCTTTCTTACAGTGCAACTTGCTTACAGATAAATCCAAAAGCTGAATACTAGGTCTTCCAGGCCCCCAATCCTTAGAAAACTGGGCCTTACTAGCCATGTTTTTAAAAGAGAAAATTCCAGATATTTCAAGTAATACAGGCTTTAGTTCTATCTACGATAACCCCTCTATTCTCTTTGTAAATTATGACATGAAGTAGGGTAAAACGTACCATTAAAGCCCAAATTCCATTCACTCTTAAGGCAGGATTTTCACTTTGGGTTAATCCACAAAGTAGCTCTACAGCTCCTGATTCTAAAATTGGCTGTGGTTGGAAAAGGAAAAAAAAAAAATTTTTTTTAAATCAAATTTGCAAACTGTGTATGTGCCCTAGTACTCTATATTTTCTTCCCTACTTTACCCAGTTCCATGCAACTGTCACAAAGAGTGATACAGCCACAGAAGTCACTTTGAGTAGGGCAAGAACAATCTCTCTCAACAACAACAAAAACAAAACTCAAAAAGCTCTTCTTTGTTCTTGTAGTCCTGAAAGAATCTGGGAATATCCTAATTATCTGAACATTTTACTCATATCCTTATGATCTAGTTTCCCACTCTCATTTTTGCTGTCCTGAGACTGTGACTCCCTGCTTTGTTTATGTACATGTCTTGTATGTTGCTTATAAGATGTGACTAGGAAGCAACGTGATTGGTTTAGTGGAGAAATGTAATATACTTAGATAATCAAATCATCCTCCTTCCAAATTGTTAATTTTTTCCCAAACACGTTGCTGAATTCATCTCTGAGGACTATTTTCAGGACTACCTATCAATTTCATAAATAAAACAGACTTGTACTTTTACAGTCATGCCACATTTTACATCTAAAACATCATGCTTTACCTGGACCACTTGTTATGATACTTGGGATACTATTTGAGAATGGATTTCTGGCAATTTCTAAGAAATTCTAATCTTTGAGGATTAAGATTTTTCATCATCAATGAATCAATCTGTCAAGTGAGTTTTAGAAACATTTTCATAAATATAGGCCTATTTAACTATAAAAAGGGCAATGCCTCTCAAAGTGACACTTTTGAAGAGGGTAACAAATTCCTCTACTTGCACATATTGTGATATTTTTAATATTTTGTCATAGTTGCTATTTATTGGTCTCATTCTATACACGTATATCCACATTATTTTATCCCACCATTTGAAAATAGAGTACCTTTTACCTTTAATTTCAATGCATATTTCCTAAAACAAGGATGTTCTTTTAGTCCCATTTTAATTATCAACTTCAGAAAGGTTAAAGTTAAACAATACTTTTATCAATCTAGTATCCCTATTCTAATTCTGTCAATTGGCCTAACAATGTTCTTCTAGTATTTTCCTCCCTTCCAGATGAGAATTTGGGTTTATTTTTATTTTTTGTGATATGATATGAGGAAAGTTCTCTATTATTAAGCTATATCCCTCTCCCCAACTACTGCCCACTTTTTTTTTTTCCTGGTACCAGGGATTGAACTCAAGATCTTGCGCTTGTGAAGCAGGTATGGCACCACTGAGCTAAATTCCCAGCCTGTGCCCAGGGTCTGATTTAGGGTTTCACTAAATTGCCCAGGCTGGCCTTGAATTTACTATCCTCCTGCCTCAGACTCCAGAGTAGCTGAGATTATGAATCATTCTGCCTGGGTTTGGTTTATTTTTATTATTAAGAAATCAAGCATTTTAATGATCCTTTTTGCCTGACCTCATCTACTTTATTTCCTAAATGGACCTTAAATATTCTAGGCAATCTAAGAACTGTTTCTAGGTGATAAATAGTGTTGTACTGGCTGTAACAGATTCTGATCAGGTTAAGATGCTACTACTAGCCATAGGAGAACAGATTGGAAGATCTGCCATATTACCTTGCCTTTATCTTTCTTGAGAATAATCACGTCTCTTTCTTTTTGTTCTAAAAATTTTCAATAGCTACCTTTGAACCATTATGTTGTCAATACTGCTTTCTTGGTTGCAATCAAAGTATGTAGGTGTTATGCAGAAAATAAATTCAACCAAAAGGGAACTACTAAGTGCCTGATAACTTGAGTTCATAATTGGGCAGATCAGATTCCCTACCCTACGCCCACTCCAGGCACTGAATCTAAAACCTCATGCATTCTGATAAGTACAGGCTCCATCAGCCCCAAACTAGAGATATAATTACAGTAAAACTAACTTTATAAGGTTTCCCTCTTCATTAACTTTAGTTTGCTCTATTGAAAAAGTACAAGGTCAAATAATTTACAAAATGCAGAGAAGAGAAAGAATCCTCACATTCAATCTTTCCCCCAACAACTACCATTAACATTAAACATTAAAAGATTATTTCCTAATGTTAGCAGTTATCTCCTTGAAATAACTTATTACCTTGATTTACAAAATTAAATCTTATTGTTTAGCAAATATACTGTAGTTTGAAAGTAGTCTATTATTTGTATAATTATTTCTTTTAAGTTCAAGTAGTTTAGAATGACTAGAAATTGTTATTTATTTAGGCAGACCCAGTACTAGAGACTGAACCCTGGTCTTTCACATTGAACTATATTTCCAGAGCATATTTTTTATTTTGAGACAGGATCTTGCTAAGTTGCTGAGGCCAGGCTCTGCTAGGATTATATGTGTGCACCACCACACTCAGCTTGTTTACTTATTTTTTAATTTATTTTAGAGACAGGATCACTCTATACTGCCCAGGCTTTCCTCAAACTCCTAGGGTGAGGCAATCTTCCTGTTCAGCATCTGGAGTAGCTGGGATTACAAGGATAAACTGAATATACTAGGTCACATAAAAATAAAGAAAAATAACCACATTTAAAAATGAATTACTCACCCGCCCCATTCAAACAATTCAGAAATACCTTTAAAACCCAAACCACAAATTTAAATGTCAATTGCTATAAAAAGTTATCTAACTAAGCTCTAACTGGACTGGGCAACACCTAGAAGAGAAAAATCAATACTAACCTCTTTGCTTGGAGAAAATTCAAGAAGCAGATTACATAACATGGATGATGCTACTACTAGGATTTCATCTGGTGCATTTTGTAAAACCTATGGAATAAAAAAAAAGGGGGGGATACCATTAAGGTTTAGAATCATAGAGGTGAGATAGATCATTGAAGTCTAAATAAAAACAAAACCAAGGGCAGCTGAGGCAACTCAGCAAGACCTGTCTCAAAATAAAAATTGAAAAAGCACTGGGTATATAGCTTAGTAGAAGACCAAGCACAAGGCCTGGGTTCAATCCCCAGTACCACACACACACACACACACACACACTCCTTTCAAATTGATTTCTCATATCGGAGAGAGAAAACATGTTAAGATATAACATGAAATTCTGACAAAATTTCATCAAAATAGGAACAACAAAAAACTCCCAAGATTTTTAATTAAAAATCAAATGGCTGTCACTTTTGGTTTGCTAATCAACAGTTTAAAATATGCAAAAACAAAAGAGAAAAACCAGCAGATATGTAAATAGTCTCTGAACTCTGAGACGCCAAAGGGAATCTGAAATAAATCACTGTTTTATTTCCAAATTTTTAATACTACATTTTAAATGTGCAACAAAGTCATACTGTGAAAGTAATTATACACACAAGTACCCAAGTGCACAAAATTCTAGACTGTTCATTAGATCTTTCCCTGGGAGAATTAGAAAGCATATGTTGCTCCATTTCTGATTTGTATGATAGAGGGGTTTTGAGCTGAGCAATCATAGAAAGTGGCTCCAATAAATGCAAAGGGATTTATTTTGGGAGGCAGAAAAGTAATTTTTAAAAATTTTGAACAGATAATCAATAAATAAGATCTAGCTTCTATGAAAAAGGTATACTCTGAGAACAAGACTGAAAGTGTGGGGCCAGGGATTTAGCTTAGTGATTCTGCCACCTGCCTCGCAAGGGCAAGGTCCTGAGTTCGATCCCTTGAAAAAAAAAAAAAAAAAAAAAAAAAGATTGTGTGTGTGAACAATACAAGAACATATTACTTAAGTGAAGAGAGCCTTCAAATATGGCCCTGGTGGTTTTAGACAAAGCACCATAGGTCTGAAATGGATTTTGGTGGGTTCAAGTTGGCATATCCCTTGAACAAATAAATGCTTTCCAAATGTGGAAAGGCAATGATATTGTTATTGCAGAGAGGGGAGTGAATGAATAATCTTTCCGAGTTTGGAAGCTTTTAATGAGCTTCAGGACATAAAAGGGTAATAAGGTGGGCTGGGGATTTAGCTCAGTGGTTCCATTGCCTGTCTCAGAAACGCAAGGACCCAAGTTCGATCCCCAGTACCAAAACAAAAGGGTAACAGGGAAGGAGGAATAGTGAGAAGGGCTGCCATATGCCCAACAGGGTGACAGTCAGGGAGGAATGCCAATGGACAGAAGTGGGTCAAACTCAATGTCACAGGTTGTGTAGGTCTTTTTGCCTACAAAGCCCACTTCAAATTCTTTCTGCCTGAAATCTTTCTGTCATATGGCCCTACTCTGATTTGAAGCTTCAAGGGAGGGCAAGAGCTCTGTAATAAGAAACATCCTGCTGGTCCACTGTGCCTGGATGCTTTGTTTAGTACTTAGTAATCATTCAAAAACAAAACAACAAAAACCTAAATCAGCAAAAAATTCTGTTGACTGATTAATGAAAAGAAAGAAGACTGAAGATTAAGTCAACCTATGGTTCTGTAACACAAAGAACATTGGCAATCACCTGATGCATATGCTTAATCCTTAATTCAATTTCTTTTGCTCTGAACACATGCTTTTTTTTTTTTTTTCAATTGAGCTGGGAAGTCTCAAGAGCAGACCCAAAGCCAAAAAAGGCATGTTAAAAAATATCCAGGGACTGTCAAGAGCCTAAGAATATGCTATATTTGTAAATAGCTGTTTCTTTTTCATTTTATTTCCCTAATAATTACAAAGATGACTCCAAGTTTTAAGAGTAATACTGAACAGATAGAGATCATATGAGCAACTAAAGCTTTACTTAATAAAAGACAACTAGGCTTGCACTTCTCCCTCACATGTGAGATGGTGACTTCAGAAATTCTGTAGATCTGTAGATGATCAGAGTATTAGATTCAAGCCGAAACATGTTCAAAATGTTCAATACAAAAATCAGACAGGGTCAGGGACAGTGATTCCACCGCCTGCCTCACAAGCACAAGGACCCGAGTTCAATCCCCAGTACCAAAAATCAAAACAAAACAAAAAATAAAAAATCAGACATATTCCTAACCTCAGAAAGTAATGTTGGCTAGTTCAGCTCACAAAGGCTCTGTGGCAAGATGACCTTTTCTTACCTTCATTAAAGGTTTCCACACAGCATGATCCTGGAAACTGGTTCGAAGTTGCTGTACAGATCTGGATAAACTGTGCAAACATCTATAAAGAATAATTAAAATTAGTTTTCCAAGAATCCTAAGCTTATTTTTCAAATAAACTGCTTGGCTTTCACTATTACTAATGTACACTCCAGGCAAATCTAAAGTAGATGGTAAATTAACTACATGATGACACCTCCTGGGCTTTGAAGGCTAGGCTCTCTGTGAGATAATGCTGTACACTGTTTGAATTCACCTAAACATAATTTCCATTAACATTCATATACTGCACTTATTCAGTGAAGGACTGGAAAGGAAGTAGGTTAAATACATAGCAAAGGATGTTTATTCAGACCATTTAAAGCTCATACCTGACAGCAGCTAACCGCACCTTGACACTAGACTCAGACAAGCCAGTCACAATTCGGTCCATCATATTTTCAGTCTCAATGATCTGGAGAAAAAGGTTAATGCTGCATAAATAACAACACAAAGGTGACAAACTTCATTGCTTGTAAATGTAAACATTCAAAGTTTAATACTGCCTTTGGCAAAAGTTTTCACCTTTGGGACAATCATCTTGTGATGAGGGCAGGCAGCTCAGAAGAAAGGTAGGGCTGGCCCACTAAGGACAAGCCAGACTGAATAACAGGTGCTATGGGGCAGGTTGTTTGTTCGTTTATTTATCTAATTAGTTTTTTGAGACAGGGTCTCACTATGTAGTTGAGACTGACCTGGAACTCACCATGTAGCCCAGGCTGGTCTGGAAGTCACAGCGATCCTCCTGCCTCAGCCTCCCGAGTGCTGGGATTACAGGCATGCACCACCACGCCCGGCAGGTTATGTTTATTTTTAAAGACATTGTGAACAAAAATTAAATGTTATAAGTATTACAGAGTTGTTGCATAAACAATTTCGGGGTGTAACCTAACTCTTATTAGGTAGGTTCTTGCCAGAGTGAGAGTCTAGTCCACACTTAGTCCTGATGAAATGAAATCAGGGTTTCTGATAGAGCCACTCTATGGTTACTTTCTTCCTAACAGCACTGATACAAAGTTAAATATTTGTAAGGTAACCATCGTTAACTAGTACATGCTACAGGCAATCACCATAGTCATAAAGCTTTATTTTTTAACTTGAAAGTAAGACAGCCTGCAGTTTTCCTTCATAAAGTAATGTACAAATTCAAAATAAATGGTGTGCAGAGGAAATTAAGTTTAACCTTTGAAGGCCTATGGAAAAACAGCTATTACAGCACTAATGTAATCTCAAAAATATTAACAAGCAACGAGTTTTTGTTGAGTTTTATGTGCCAGGCACTGTGCTAAGCATGTTACATTATCTGACTTAACCCTTACTCTTTTGCAAGTACTATTAAAATTACTCCCATTGACCTATTAGGAGATTGAGATTTGTAGATAACACAAATCTCTAGTGGGACAACAGAGTTGACCCCAGGCGATGACTCAAGTCCATGTACTTAGCCACATTTGTAATACTGACTTGATTAAAAAAACTAGCCCTTTACTTATCAGGTGTTCCCCAAATGGGCAAATGATTAAAAGCAACCATTACTTTCTGCCAGGAGATACCTAGACCACGAGATTTTAACACTGGTCACACAGACCAATCTCCTATGGAGCTTTAAAAAAGTCCTATGTCTATCACACTAATTAAATTGTTCAGGTATTTGTGTTTTTAAAAAATGTCGGTGAGGGCTGGGGATTTAGCTCAGTAGTGCCACCGCCTGCCTCACAAAGTTGAGTTCGATCCCTGGTTTAAAAAAAAAAAAAAAAAAAAAAAAAAAAAAAATCAAGGGAGTCTGGTGTAGACAAGGTTGAAGATCACTGACCTAGAGTAAAATGAAAAGACTCGGAAGCCAGATTTTAGAAGAGGAGAGGGTGAAAAATCTCAGGATGTTCAAAGCCAAATAGGAAGAGTACAGATAATATAGTTGAAATGGACAGTGAGCCGAAAAAAAGAACACTTAATAGAATGGGGAACCATACTTTAGCTGCAGGTTAGAAATGTTACTTTTCATATAATGTCTTATAGCTTCCAAAGTGGCCAAGAATATGTACAGTCCTACTTTGGTACTTGATTGCTATAAAACTTGTCAAATTTGATCAAATCACTTTGATGTGAAAATTTTGTCCCAGTACTCCTATGTCTGGTACTTGACATGCAAGGTAGAACTTGTCAGGGTCAAGTACCTTATGATGCTATTTCCTTTCCAGCCAAAAAAAATGTTTGACAGTCATTGTTTTGGTTATTTGTTGAGACCCCGGAACCAAATAATGACAAGTACCAACATACCACTGTACACAGATTCTTCTCCCCAGGCTTACCTTTATGCACACCCAGGCTCTATCTTCACTGTCACTTCTAGCCCTACATACTTCCTTCCTTTCTCAGTCTACCTACTCTTTTTGTCCTTCTTATTACTTCCCACCACCAACATGGGTGCCCGACTTCTGTGTGCTATTCCACCTCAGCTGGACTTTACTGCTGGTCCACTATGCTTGCTGTTAGTTGACAGAGATCCCTATATTCCCAATAGTGCCTACCTCCTACTTCAAGTTCTTCTAGGTCCCTCTGAACCCACCTCAAATTCACAGGGGATTTGCTTTCTTTCTGGGACACAAGTTGTTTCAGTATCACCCCCTCTTTTTGAGATAGGGTCTTGGTATGTTACTCAGGCTGGTCTCAAACTTGTGTTCAAATAATCCTCCTGCCTCAGGCTCCCAAGTAGCTAGGACTACAGGCCTACTACAAATCTGTGCCACCATGCTTAGCTCAACAACCTACTTCTTACAGAAATGTTTCTATTTTCTCACTCTCTTTCTTTACCCTAGTTATGTAGTACTTCAAGCTCAAGGCCCTTCTACCAATTGGGTGTAGCGGTAAATGTCTATAATCCCAGCATTCTGGAAGGCTGAGGCAGGACAATGGAAAGTTCAAGTGTAGTGTAGGCAAGTCAGCAACTTAGACCTTGCTTCAAAATTTAAAAATAATATAAAAAAAGGGATATTGGTGTAAGTCAGCGTGAAGGCTCTGGGGTCACACTGGGTGTGTGCGCGCGCGCAGGTGTGAAGTCTTTCTACTATGACTCAAAATATACCTTATTCCGCTTGCACCTTACTCTGTCCCACCCTGCATGTGTCCCAAAGTCTGTCCATCTCCTACTCTACATATATTCCACTGTGACTTTAATACCAGTTCACTATGGGTAATTCCTAACCTTAAATTATATCCTAGAATTCTTTCCTGACCTTGAGCTCCATATTTCCAACTACCTATACATTCAGTGGAACTTTTGTCCAATTATATCTCATACTGTTTAATACCTCCACCCCCACTAAACCTGCTTGTTTCACCTTTTTCTTTTTTGCTCTGCTCATGGTGTTACCATTCTTCCAGTTACCCAGGCACTGAATTTGTATTAATTTTGCCTCCAAGTCTTTTCTCTCAACACCTAATTTCTTTTGCAGTCTAATTTACATTCATTTCATCACATTTTCACTTCATTAAAGTAGTTAGGGCTATATTACCTTTTCCTTGGGAATTAGAGTAACGTTTTCCAAATTATCTACTCTTCCATGCTACAACAAATATAAAAGATTTAGAGGCTGACTAGTTACTTCAATCAAGCCTAAGTAATTGTTCTTGAAACAGGCAAGCCTAGCTAAATCAGGACTTTCAGAATTAGAAAAAAACTAAAACTTGTAGGCAAAGGTCTAAGGCAGCTAGGCATGGTAGTGTACACCTATAATCCCAGTACTAAGTAGGCTGGGGCAGGAGGACTGCCATATGTTTGAGGCCAGCCAGGACTATGTGGCAAGACCCTGTTTTCAAGAAAAAAGAAAGAAAAGAAAAGAAAACAAAACAAACCCTCCGGCTCTAGAGGGCTAGATGCTAATCTAGCATCTTCTGGTGGCTTAAGAAATTATTTTTATTTAGCATGAAGAGTGATAACCTGGAAAAAAATAGTTGCCTGTACTGGATATAGTTATATCATCAGAGAATAAGTGGGAGTGCTTGTGGAGAGCAGATGGATGCAACACATGACTGTTCTTCAGTAAGAACTAATACTAATACCTGAAAGAGGCTTCTGGGTAATACTGTTAGTATGGTTTCTGCTTAACAACTACTAGTCATATTCACCCAAAGATGTAAATCTACCAAGGGGCAGGCCCAATGTAGTAATTATACAGACATTTAATAAAGTATGTCTCAATACAACCACAGGTCACAAATAGGCCATGAAAGTGCTTGAAAAGCCCTAATTCTATACAAGAGAGGCACCAGATAATTCTATAAAATATGGGCGTGAGTCAAGACTGTGGCCCCTTCCCCAAATTAGTAAGGCTAATAAAGAACTTGGGAAGAGGGAATAAGGTGGTAAACTAGAAGCAAAACAAGTGGGTAACCAACCTAGTGGATAAGCAGTGAAATGGAACATTATCAACTGGATTTGTTGTATAATCCCGAACAACTCACTTTATTTATTTAGACCTTCAGTAAAATGAGAGGAAAGGGCAGTGTTTATTTCCTATCTTTTGTACCCAACAGGTGAACAAAAATTAATCTAGGCAAAACTATCATATTGTCAAAATGGCAGTTTTACTACTGATTAAGAAATAGCCATTAATAATCTTCTCAATGAATATTCAGGCTCAGATTAGAGGACAGTGGAAAACTGTTAAAAGTACAGCTTTTTTTTTTTTTTTTTTTTTTTTTGAGACAGGGTCTCACTATGTAGTTGAGACTGACCTGGAACTCACTATGTAGCCCAGGCTGGTCTCAAACTCACAGGGATCCTCCTGCCTCAGCCTCCCAAGTGCTGGGATTACAAGCGTGTGCCACCACGCCCAGCATAGCTTTGTATTTTTTTTTTTTCCATTTTCTAGGGGTGAATGGTACCTAATTTTTTGGAATACAGGTAAACTTTTTCCTTCTCTCTCCTTCCCTCTCTCTCCCTCTCCCCTCTTTCTCTTTTTGGTTCTGGGGACTGAACTGGGGCTTTTGTGCTGAGCTACATTCCCAGCGTCGTCCTTATTTTCAAACAGGTTCTTCATAAGTCACTAAATTGTCTAGGCTGTGCTTGAACTTGTGATCCTCCTGCCTCAGTTTCCCAGAGTGCTGAGATTACAGGCTTGCGCTACCACAATTTAGCTCACAAACTGACCTTAGACAACAGTCTATCAAAATGTCTGTAGTAAGAGGTACAGATATGTTCAACGGAACCCTGCTAAGGTTCTAGAAAGCACACTACCTGAGTGTTTAGTTAACTTCTCCATTAAGATTACCAGTTAGGTCTGGCATGGTGGTGCACATCTGTAGTCCCAGCACTTGTGGCTGAGGCAAGAGGACTACCTCAAGTTCAAGGCCAACCTGGGCTATAAAGTGAGTTCAAGGTCAGTCTGAACTATATAGGGAGATCTTACCTCAAAA